TGTGTAGGCCTAATATATATTCCGTAAGATCTGTCTCTTATACACATCTAGATGTGTATAAGAGACATATATGGCTTACATGAATATCTTTTCTGTAGGTTTTTACAAATAAACAAAAATAAACATAAACTTTTTTACAAACATAAAAAGTAATTTTTGCAAAAGATAATTGCAATGGTTAATAGCTTCCGACTTGAAGACGCCTAAATGAGGAAGGTTGTTGTACCATGGATATAAGATATAGGCCTCTTCGAGTATCATCGATTATCGGTATAACTGATTTTTGCAAGGTGAATGACATATGTTTTTCTAACTCAAGCACCAATGTAATCAAAAATATAGTAATATATTATTTCCAACTAGTTCCTCCCTGTAATTGTTGTGATAAGCTCTAGAAGTAGAATGCACTATAAAATTCCTATATACATATACAAACGTATTGTTTAACATTGTTCAGGTTTGTAAATATCGTTAGAGAAGTAAATATTTTCCTTTTACACTAGGCCACAGGCCCGTAACAGGGGTTCTGGGTCGAGGTGGGGGGGGGGGGGAGAAAGGTAATAATTTCCCGGTTAGTAATTTATGATCCTTGTGATACCCTACCTACCCCCAATATAGAAAACGATATGACATATCTTACGGAATATATATTAGGCCTACACACGTGTGTTTGAAACTAAATACTAAATATAAGCATTTTCATTATGGTTTTATTTATTACAACCATATTCTTGCACCATCAATAAACTTCTAAAGAATTATTACTGTAGTTTTTTATTTTTTATTTTTTTCACATTTTAGAATGGACCAATGAGGCCCTTCTTTTATGGTAAAACGATCTACCTGATATTTCTTTTGTGTCTACTAGTCTAAGAATTAAATATGTGGACCCGCACACTCTTCACCAGCACCCTCAATACACTCTATTATGTGTTCAATTAACTAGAGAACCAGTAGCGTAACCAGTGGGGAAAGGGGGAAAATCCCCCTGTGGAAAATCTTGCCCCACACCCGCTGGGAAAATTGAGAAAGGGGAAAGGGAAAGAAGATGGATGCCCTTTGCACCCCTGAAAGTGTCTAAAAATGTTGAATTTCGCGCGCTTCGCGCGCATTTCTTGTAGGTTGTGGCTACGGCCAATTTTCACTAAAGATTGCACATAGAGAGTTTAAAGTGCCTGCCTGGGAATGAGATGCACCAACGGATTCGGAGAATATCTGGCGGCTTAGATCAAAAAGCGCTACAAAACGTCTTCCCCCAGCCTGTGTATCTCATTTACATCAGACACGTTTCAGTCACAACTATTTCGCTCTAATTCTGTGGACATTTTTTGCAGTGGAGCAGGGGTGATGGGATATATGATCATATGATATCTTCATTTTTATTCTTTTCTTTATTTTTCTCTTTTTGTTTCCTCTTTCCTTTCCTTTCCGTTTCCCTTCTTTCTCTTTTCCTCCCTCTCTCTTTGTTTCCTCTTCTTTCCCGATACGACGGCATCGTCAGCCCGGTAAAATCCGTCAGCAGATACTTTGCCCCTTCCCCCCTCCCACGCCACTGCTAGGCCAACAACATGATACATCTCAGAAACCATATATTGTAAGCCAGTCAATCTGTGGATTAATCCAGAGCAAATTGCAACAGAAATTAGTTTTGCGGAATTCTTTCGATGTCAATTTTTTCACATATTTTCGTAGGCACTACAAAAATATTTTTGAATCCTACTTGTAAACTATTAAAATAATGGCACGCACGTTTTTCTTTTAACTACTTGTTCAGCAAATGCTTCCCTGGTCAATAGCCACCCGCTGCTCCTGCTCCTGCAAATACTCATTCAGACCGGAGTTATATGACAATATGAACAAAATCATTCTAATAGTCTTCTAGTACAGTACTTCAAAACCACTCATCATCATCAAAGATTTTTTTTGTCAGACTCAGGCATGTCTGGGCGTAAAAGGGGACCCGCCCCATAGACACCTATGTGCAATAGTCAGTGTGAGCTCTGGATCTGAAAACAACCAACTTCATTCTGTTTATCCTATTTTGTCCCACGCCCACTTAAATTCACCATGATCTTTATCATTGACACACACCTCACTCTAGTTTTGTTGACAATGGGTCAATAAGGAGGTAATCACTTTTGTAATAATTCAGAAAATTAACATTTCCAAATACGATCTAGCAGGTTGAATTTAATTGCTTCTAAGCAAAATAATCAGATTTGAGCACCCATACTATGTACACAAACATGCCATTACTCAAACAAACAAAAAATGAATAGGATGAATTTTTCGTAACGTGTCAGTGATATGTTGCTGTACTTTCCTGACTGCGTACGTGTTGATGCTAACTGACAACTACAATTTCAGTCACTGCATGACCGTTTCTAGTTTAAAATACCTTTTTCCCTGAATTAGTGATAATTCGTTATCACACAAGACTTGTGCTAAATGCGTGACAAATTTACGATCACGCATGTGTTTGTGCACAATGCGTGTTTCATCATTTTTTTTTACTTTCCAAAGGAAAGTAAATCCGCCCCTGAATACCTACAGCTATTTGTATGCCCTAAATGAATATCAAGATTCACGATGACACAATCACTTTCAGAAAGGTTTTTTTTCATTGTGGTCCTTTATATAGACCTAACATGAGTTTTCAATAAAGGTTGATGACAAATTTAATTAATGATAAAATAGAAAAAGAGTTTTAATATCAAATTTAATTTTATCCATTTCGTTGATAAGTAGGTGCCATTTAAAATGGTTTTTAAAGTTAAGCCAGTCTGAACCTTAATTAACAATTTTTAAGTTTGTATAGAGTGTAGGCCTATTTTGTCAAGACTCCAATGATGTAAAAAAGGGTCTTTGACTTCATCAAACATAGTACAGTTCAAATAAATTTAAAAAGTAGAACAATATCTTATTAAATTAAACAATTTCCTGCAGTGGCAAATATATGGATAAACTGGTGTAAAATACAAGATGCAGTTTTTAGGTTGTTTAAATGTGTTTTTATGTGGGTTTTTTTAATACAGTATATAGGCCTAAATGCAGTGTGATGAGATTTTAATGATAAATATATGGGTAGATCATTTAATATTGTAAAAAGTTATGAAGGTAAAATCTCAGTAAGGTAATAATAGTTAATAAATTAATAGTAGTAATAATAATAATAACAATAAATAACTATAGCAATAATAATAATAATAATAATAATAATAATAATAATAATAATAATAATAATAATAATAATAATAATAATAAGAATAATAATAATAGATAGCAATAACAACAACAACGAAGAGCACATATTTACTGCAGTAGTGCTTAGGGCGGAAAAAGAGGAAGGAACCAAAACATTACCGTTAAAGCCCTAGACTTAAGTACAACCCCCTGGTATAACAGCGGGGAAATCGTGATACACATGACAAAGTGGCATGACACATTTTACTGCACGTAACAATAACTTGGTGCAATCATCATCTTCATCAACACCTAATACGAAGTCCGACGGAGAGGGTAAAGGTTTGGCCTCTCATGGGGATGTCCTCTTCCCCTGCCGATGGCTCCGCCATTGCGTCTATGTATATAATACAATTTGTTGATATCTACAGTCAAATATCCATGACGGATCATTATAGAGATAAAACATAATAATGCACTTTAACAATAACAGGCCGTAGCGTGATTTAATTTATGGGAGGTTCGTTTCAGTGGAAAGTGAACCCTTTGGCTTGTATCTCCAATACTCTGGAGAACATTGAAAATATATCTACGAATTTCAATTTTTCCTTTTTAAATCCGGACCTTCTCCAGTTTTTGGGCGGTTCGTCGTAACCCCCCCCCGTCCCCCACACTCGGGGCTGCTCAAATGATGCTTCAAATCAGCGAGACCGTCAAAATGCTATGAATATAATTTTCAATGAAGAATTTTGTCACTATAGGTTTTACAATCATGGATGGTGTAACAATGCACGCAGCATTATAACAATGGATACATGTGTAAAGTGTTATTCGCACAGTTGAATAGGTTAAAATCCACATAAAGACATCCGTTACCACAACTCTTTGTCAAAAACTCTAACGAAAAGCGCTTGCCTAATTCTCTGTATCGCAAAATGTAGTCTATATAGCCTCGGCCTACCAAGGGCGTCGATCCGTGGTTAAAGTGGGAGGGTGGGGGGACGAAATGAAAAATAAAGCCTCGGGCCGTAAGCCCAAGCGTTGGTTTGGGACCAGGGGGGGGGGGGGCGAAGCCCCCGGAAGCTCTGGCGCCTATAGCCTTTTAATTGATTTTAAGCAATGCAA